CTTTTGTTTCGGCCAACTGTTTTTAACTATACACGCCTCCGTCGTTCCTTCCAACCTCCACCACCTCAACCTCATCATCCTCCACCTACTCTCTCACTCTCTTTCTTCTTTTCTTTCTTTATTTCTTTATTTCTTTCTCGACGTTACTAGTTCCTCTCTCACCCTCACCACCTTGCCTCACTTACCAACGTTGCACCYCGTCGGTAGCAGCACACTACCACCACCACCACCACCATAATCGTAGTCCTCGTCCTCGTCGCCGACGTTCATCGTCGTCGTTGTATTGGACGAACGTATATTTTTTTATTTCTTTTCTTTTCTTTTCTCAGAACGTATTATAAATGTTCACCTATAAACAACCACCGACACACTAGCATAAGCGCCGTCATCCTAGCCGAGGACGAGAACGAGGACGAGAACGATGAGGACGACGTCGACGTGCCTTTGAATCATACTTCAGAAGAGGAGATTTTTCAATGGTCGCTAACCCCCCATTGTCGTTACCAATGACGAACGATTTTATAGTGATCTAATGTACAGATGTTATTTACCCGTAATAAGAATGAAATAAAAGCATTGTACGCATTATGATCCCGTATCTTTGCTTACCTATGTCCTTTTTACCTGAACCACCACTATTCACCCTCTCGATTACTTACACACATATACATACATATATGTTTTATATTTTCGTATATGTAAGTATGTATGTTTTCTCTCTCTCTCTTTCTAAACGCGGCCAACCACGAACGGCTACCGTTCACTGAGCAAGGATTCACATGAGAGGCTCGTGGCTTTACGAGAATCAGATTATTTTTGAATTTAATAGGCGTGAGGGAGATCCAAACCGGAAAACCAATATGCGTTATGTACATATATACATATATACCTATATGTACTAGAATAGTAATCTACTACTCATCATGGTTCTTTTCTATCTTCTAACTTTGAGAAAGCAGAAAAGGGTAGCATGTTTGCCGTATAGATGTTACGGAATGATAATTTATTATTCGCTTCGTGAAATGAGATAAGGATCAAAGGGTTGACCGCGAAAAAAGAAGAGGCGTTACGGAAGACTCATCGTCGAGAATTATAATAATGGCGGCGTTGAAAAAGGTAAGGGAAACGCTTCGATGACTTTCAAAAGGGGGAAAAGAAAACTTTTCATCCCCGAAACGAGGCTAGGAAAGAAAGCTTTTCTCCTTTTTCTTTTTTTTCCTTCGTTAATAAGAAAAGATGCTTTTGAGAATGTTTGCTTATCTCTATCGATACAAAAAAACTTACTGGCTTTGTGCAATTATTTTTCTTTATTTTCTTCTTTTTATTCTTTATTTCATTTAAAAGTGATGTTTAACTTTATATAATAGTGTATAAATACTTTGATGTCACACGTATATAGGATATTTCTGTATAGGTTATGTGTTTTGAAAAAAGTTAAAAAAATAGCAGAAACGAAATTATTTAATTAAATATAAAAGTTTTTTTTTTACAAATTTACTAATTACTCGATGTAATCTTAGTAAATACCTTAACAAAGTATTATTTTATTTAATAGGCCATATTTCGATGAACGATTTTTAGATAGCAACGATTTTATCGGTAATTACATTTCATCGATATCAAAAAATATTGATTTGCTAGATAAATATTAAGATTTTTTCTCAAAAAAATTATTTTCTCAATTAGGGTATTGTCTTGAGTTCTGAAAAACAACTTGACTGTATTTTTATGCACAAAACTATTGAAATAAGGGTGCATTTTGGTGCCCATTTAAAGAAGCAACGTGTTTTAATGTTTAAAATACAAAAAAAAAAAAAAAGAAAAGTAAATGAGTCATTAACCCCATCAATTTTACAAATGATAACACTGTTACAAAAAAAACTATCAAACGTTTTCTCACCTTTTTCTATCCACCCTCTTTTCTGTACCTTCTTAAGGGAATGAAACGAGAAATTACGGTAAGCATATAGGTGTGCCATCTATAGATACGATTATGAAGCTTTCACGTAAGCGTCATTTGAATCCTTTGAAAATGCATTATGCAAATACGAACTTCGTACTGTAAGAGAAATAAAAAAAAAAGACAAAAAAACAGGCAACAAAATTTTCTACACTTTTAAAATAACAATAAAGTTTTGCGATAAATGAAAAACATTCAACTAAAATTTATTATAATTAATTAATAATATCTATTCAAATTTAATGTTCCATAAATTATAAAAGATACCTAAAGAAATAAATAAAATACAAATACACATTAAAAAAAATAGAATAAAAATAAAGAATTTCATAAAATCAAATTTTATCTTTGTTTATACAAATTATCTTCATCTTAAATATTTTATAATAAAATTTAATTTTTTTACGTAAATTTGTTTCATAACCTATACTATACAATACATACATATTACATATACATATATACAGGACAGACACATAAATACACATACAACAAAAACACATATACCAATCCTACGTATCATTCGCTGCTCTTCCGCTGGCGATGCAGCTGCAGTGTCATCGGGATTCACCGTTGCAGTGAAATATCGTATGACTTTTTGACGTGCTTTTAACAGATTGAATTGAAAATGGCTCTCTGGCTCCGACATATTTGCGGGCATATCCATATCCCGGGAACGACTGTACGAACAGGCAGCCGACGAGGGAGATGACATCCGTATATATATATATATATATATATATTTAGAAGTATGTGTGCATGCATGCGTACATAAACGTGTGTGTACATGTATATATATATATATNTATATATATATATATATATATGGTATATGTATATACATACTGATACATATATGTAGATCGTATGTATATGTATATATATGAATACATAGAAACACACATAGAAAGTTCTTTCTCTCTTCTTTTTATATTTACACATTCGCTGATTCCGCACATTGCAAGCTACGACGACGACGACGAGGAAGAGTAGTGGAACTGGACAGGTCCATCGAATTGGCATCCGTAGAAGGGTGGAAAAATAATGTCCTGGCTTATTTTTTTAAAGTTCCGAGGTTAAAGCTCAGGGAACGTACTAGAGTGAGAGAACCAAGCTTGCGAACCTGTCTCTTTTTCTCTCTTTCTATCTTTCTCGGAAGGGGAAAAAAGTGATAGATATCTAGACATATATATATAGATAAATGTGTGAATATATATATATATATATAGATATGTCGATATTACGATGCCCAGTAAGCATAGACCAAAACCTAAATCCGAGTGAAACGCGCTAAAAGCTGAAAGCTCGGCTGGACCTAGGTTATATATCTTCAGCAACCCTTCAAACACAGATGAACTAACTAAAGCCACGCGGATCCTATCCTATCCTATCGTTCAATCTTCTATCTTTCTCTACATCACTACTTTTTTTTTCTATTTCTTTTTTGTTACCCCCACCAATCACCCTCAACCCTACCACCCCCTTTCTACCTAAATCTCTTTTATACGATCACCAAAAGTCACGTGCATCGAATTGTCCATCGTCCCAATGATGTTTCAATATCACCCTTTGTTTGAAAAAGGGTATGTAACACACACATACATACACATACATACACATACATACATGTGAGAGTGATAAGATTTTTATACACTCCTACGTCAGAATAATTCTGAGAATTTAGGGTTTTTTTTGTGTCCACGCCAAAAACAGATATATTTTTTTCTCACCCCCATTTTCATGGCTACGCCTTTCCTCGATTTTTCGATATTTTCATTCCTTCCTTTCCTCCTTTCGTCCTTTCGAACGTATAGCATATTAATTTATTAGACAGTTTTGTAAAAGTTTTGTAAAAGTCTTTTTCATGATTGATCGCGATATGAATTTGACGTTACGGATGAAATTACTTTTGATAAATAATATTATATTTTATATATTAATTATTATTTTGATTAATAATATTATATTTATTATATTAATATAATAGTTATTTATTATTTTGATAAATAATAATTTAAATTTAACAATAGTTGTGTTTCAAAATTACTGCTGTTTTAAATATCAATTATTAATTTATTGTATAAATTTAATATATAAATAACAAAATATTTACACATTTAACGATATATATTATAATATAGAGTTGTTTTATTATATATTTCTGTAAATATATTATAAATAAATTTTAATTTAGTTTTCAACTTGATCAGACATCGTACTACTAGTGTCATTTCTGGATATCGTACTGCTAGAGTCATTTCTCGATTAATTACTAAAACTAATTTTGTGAAATATTTCTTTCTATCTATTGATGATAAATAATAATATCCTTAGTTCTCATTTGAAACAGCAGATGGAACTGGTAACGCATTCAACTAAACAGCATGATTTTTAAGTCTTCGAATTTTTGTAAAGTCATCAAAATGTTTTCGTAAGTTTAAAACATTAAATTAAAGGAATTCATGAATTATTTGTTTTTTTATTAATATTATAAACTGATTGAAAAAGTAAAGTAAATATTATAAAAATTAACATTTAATATTTTTACGAAATTGTAAAAATCGTGCAATTTATTTACATTAAAATACATTAGAATGTTTTAGATTGAACTAATTTTCCAATATTAAAATTATTGATGTAAACTGGAAAATAATAAAATGCAAGGTAATAAAAGTAGAAAGTTCTGAGTCCAAACTATGGAGGTCAGTAAAAGAATGAGTACAGTAAAAGACAAAAAGTTACTTCTGAATGAATGAGAAACCTCTACATTTCTTAGAATTTCAAAATCGTTTCAAATATAAAAGTCTAAATATATGCAAAATAATATTTTATAAAGAAACGAATTACGTTAGGCTAAATTTAGATTGTGAATTGTGTCAGTGCTACAAGGTTAATTATAATAAAATTAATTTACAAAAATTACAAAGTAAGAACACATTTTTGCTTAAATTAAAAAAAGTATTTATTTATTAATTAAGACACTTGATAAAAAGAAAATATATTTAATTGAAATATACATATATATATATATAATCTGAAAAATTTGGTAAAAAGTTTAAGAAATAGAAAAGAAAGATTTTTAATCCTTTTTTCTAAGTTTTTGAGAAGAACATTCCATTGATTCCATCCATAATCGTAGATCATCTTGTAATTCGGGTAAACGAATTTCCGGTTGAAATTTTTGTAGAAGCTCGTTAATTGGCATTTTCATGCCAATTGTTGTTTGCTTGGAAAGAATGACAGCATGAATAAAATTATTTCGTAGATTTATAAATTTATGTTCGAAATAGAATGATTTGTCGTCCCAATAAATCAACTGCAATGAAATAATATCATTTTATTTTTTAACAGATATTTTATCTATTTATTTTACTAAGTTTTTCAAAGCTTTTTATTTGAATAAAACAAAAAATTGTTAATTTATACCTTAGTAGTGACTTTGTACATCATGAAAAAAGGAATTGGTCTTCGATATCTCGCATTAGATCCACCGAGAACTGCTGTTGCACCCATTTTTCTCATAGCAGAAAACAATTCGGTTTGCATTAGATAATGGAAACGTGAAAAATCTATTTCACGTAAATATCTTGAATTACTCATATTTGATAATATGGCATCCAAATCTTGAGGGATACACATACCTGGTATTAAAAATAAATAAATTTTAAATCATTTCTGTACTTTATCTATAATTAAATACATTAATTAATCGTATTTATCTTAAAAGTATATTTTTAGGATATAAAAGTACTTTTAAATTGTCTCGAAAATAAAATATAAAAATATTTTACAATAAAAAATAAATTAATGAACTTCATGCTTTATTATAATAAATCATGACTTTGTAGAAAATTTGAATGATCATCGAATAATAATTTTGAAGTTGGGAACAATTAAAAAACAAAAAATTGCAATTTTTTAATAAACGCTTACCATAGATCGTAGTTTCGTCCATTATTTTAGACTTTTTTTGAAATAATTTAGTCGTAGATAACGTAAATATTAATCTGAGAAAATAATTAATGTCTAACAAAAAATACAAAATAGGAATAAGAACCAATAAACAACAGCCCAACATTTCTCTATTATTTTATCGAAATATTTGAAAAGAAAAAGAAAAAGAAAAACACACACACACAGAAAATCAAAAAAGTAAGGTTAACTTCTTTAGAGAGATGGAAGGAAGAATATGAAAGTATTTTCTTCGTCGAACATCGGTTGAAGTACTGTTGAGTTTCTGAGTAGAAATCGATACAACAAAAGAAGAAGGAAAAAAAACAATTGCGTAATAACACTTTTATTATAATAATACTGTATAAAAGTATAAAATATATTTACATAAATTATAATAATTTCCTTATATTATTACACTATTGTTTTAATTTATAATTTGACAAATACATTTGAATAACATTCATGAATAATTTAATTAGTTTATTTTTGAACAAACAAAACTTTTCTTCTTTTTTTTTTTACCAAATAAAATCGATAAAAATTCGCATTTAAATATCAGTATAATACTATAATAAAATTGTGCATAAGATAAATAATTAACTCATAATTTATAATACGTAAATATATTGTCAATTGAATAAAACAATATAATAATAATAATAATACGTGATTATAATTATTATTATTAAATACAAATAAACGTAATTTTGATTTGAAAGAGAACAGAGAAGAAAATAAATTAAGAGCAAAGTATATGCATATTAAATTTAAAGTTAATGAAAATTATCCACCAATGAGTCCCTTGGAATAGTCCACAGCCTTGGTAATATTCAAAAATTTCAGTTTAATATTCAAAAACTAATTATAAAAACAACGATACATTTAGTGTAAACTTTTTCATGGATAGAGATTGCCATTTGAAAGTGTGTTTGGGATCTACTTAACCGACACACGCTCAATATGTGCATAGAAGTTACAGCAATACTAATAATGGCACATTGTATCGATCATCGGTATTAGATAAAACGATGTATTCGTATACAGCTAGGTTTTTATTACATTATTTTATTTATAAAATAATTAATTAATTTAAAAAAGAAAAGAAAAAGATACAGGTAAGTCCAGAACCATCTGTTGGCCATAGATTTCGGTGAGTACTACTGAAAACAAAATAAAAAAGAATAAAATAAATATTAAAATTCAACGATTCTTGATTGTCTGCAGTAGTAGTGTGGTACCTGTAAAATTATCAAAATTTTTAGAAAAAAAAAGAAACAGTATAAAGTAATTAGTTTCTTTATATGAAATGGATAAAAGGAATCAAGGAATGGACTAAAAATGTGTTAATTGGAAAGTTAAAAGAAACTAATTACAATTATAATGTTTTTTATGGTAAAGCGGTCTTTGGCTAGAATTTACTTACCATGAAATGTATATTATATAAAAATATGATAAACATTACATGGAAAGTAATATCCATTGCCCGGGTCTAACCACGAGGAGGTAACCGCTTCTGAAGACCCAAGAGGGATGTGCATACTAAAGATGCTCACATCCGAATACAATTCAAAGGAATAAATCTAACTCTTAGGCCCCTCCATAAGAGTACCACCCGAAAAATCCATAAAATTATATTATCGAAAATACCAGAGAAAAATTTCAATACTAAAAAATACAAAATGATAAACAAGGAGTGTAATCTGAAAAGAAATTCAATAGAATCCTCGATGATACTTAAAACTAACACACCCTAGAATAATTTTAATATATGTACCTTCGGAAATTACAAGTTATGAATATTCTATATTTAATAATTTTTAATCTACCTAAAATATAGTATAATAAAAATAAATATATATAATATTAGATGGTACCTGTAAAAAAAAAAAAAAAAGATATTAGATGATACCTGTAGAATAAGAAGGATACATTATTATTAACTATCATACATATACGTTGCTAGAAAGAATAAAATAAAAAGAATTAAAATTCTTGAATTATTTTTGCAAGTAATTATTTTATATTACCCTTTACTATAATTATAGTCCTCTTATTATCTGCTTCCTATTATTCTTGGATGTAATATTGCATCGTCTTTATAATTCATCCTGTGAATAAAAAAAGTAATAAATAAATTAAAATACAACCTTTTTACCATAACTCAGTCCTCTTCTGATCCATATTCCTCTCCTCTTGAATACTTTATTATTATAAGAAACCTAGAACAGGAAGAAACCTAAAATAAAAAGAAAAATAAAGAAGTAGGGAAGGAGTGATGGTTAGTGGGGTGAAATTCAAGGTAAGGACATAATTTTCTCCCAATTATTGGAGGTAGGAGAAAATCATGGCTCGCGTAGGGCAGGGTCGTATCCCTGAAGTAGACCTTTCTTTGTGAAGAAACCAAAGAAAGATCTACCCGCTATCCACTGAAAAAAGAAACTCAAAACGAACCTGAAAAATAAAAAGAAAAGATTATTTTGGAGGTCTGAAAAGATTCAATGAATGCATCGAAGGGAAAGTTCCTGATGAAAAATTCGATGCACTTACAAGTGCATTAGAATTAATCATATTCTGAAACAAAATAAAATAAAAATTAAGTTTCTAATACCTAGAAAAAAAGATATATTAAAAAATACTATAAAATAATTAGTTTCTATGAATAAAATGAAGAATGAAGAAAAGTGTGGGGTAATTGGAAATAAAAAAATGATATGATATTAAAGTGAGGGGGGATTCTAAATGGGATTGTACTCTATAATATCAAACTTATCCAATACTCGATTTATTTTTGGCAATAAAAATCTCTGGTAGTTGGTGGTGGTTATTCCAACGATGTTCACCTATAACATAAAGAAAACTATATTAATTACTTCTATTCTTAAAAAACCACTATAAATTATTGACGAGCAAAATAATAAAACAATCAAAATATCAAATGACCAACGAGCTATTCGCAAAAATTCAACCATGCTGTTGAATTTGCAAATAACTAATTGAGTCCATAGTTGCCCTCTTGAGGCACAATTAAGTGGGGGCCTCTTCGGCAATTAGCCTCTTCTTTCTTGATGCCTACTGTCGGACATTCCCTACGTGCGAGCATGAAAAGAATCATTGACCAAAAACGTCAATCATTCCCAAAAAGTATTCTAATAATTTAGCATGTTACAACGATCAATGATATAGAATCAGAATCGTCCCTGATTCTAAATTATAAAATGAAAAAAAACCCGACCTAACCAACCCTTTTTTTTTTTTTTTTTTTTT